AAAATTAAAAACCACATATTCGTGATCAGCTCATCAAACTCTATCCAACGATATATAAACTAAAACAAAATAAAATTCACTCGATTTTTGCGTTGTTGCATTCTTGCATTGTTACATGACATTGCATTATACTGTATAGTAGACTATAATTCATGGAAAGCAATATATGGCTTCTACTAGATTATAGGTTATAGGACCTAATTACCATAAAATTTAGCGTAAAAGATTATATTGGGAAAAAGTAATACGTGAGCAAACTCTAGTTTCGCATACTTCTCAAAACACGTTTTTTAACAAACTCATTAGTATTCTCTCTTCTTGAAAAACTGACCACACATACCGCATGTAAATATACTCAGATGCTTTCCAATTCATCATTTTGAATGCTTTCTTCACAGAACCATGGCAGGTGCCTTGAAGTCCTCTTAAAAGATCTGAAGCATGGACCAAGAAAACATCGAAAAATGATACACCAGAAAAATATCAGAATATATGTGCATGTAGCGTGTGAGATAAAAGTTCCAGCCCTAAAGAATGAATTTCCAAAGAGTGAGATACTAAAAGGAGTACCGGAAAACATGATTTATGGGAGAATCATATATTAAAGACGTTGTCAAGGGCGGAGAAAATCTGGTGTCTATTTCAGTTTTCGAGAACAAGTTCTGTTAGTTATTTCAAGTCTCTGCAGTTCTGCATTACGATTCTATAAGGAGATAAGAATTGAGAGGTGAGTACCCTTGAGAAACACACATATTGACATCTCTATTTTAAATAACAGTTATATTCTATGCACTTTATAATTAATAGGCAGAATCAGAAGAATTACCATCACAGTGTAGTTTTTGAGGGTGAACTGATATCCGATGTATTTTTTCGGCATAATCGACAGAAAAACAATAATAACTATTTTTATATATCTGTCTGTAAGTTAACCCTTCAGCTATACAGTTTAAAAGTTAGTCTACCATTTTAGAGTGTTTTAAACCACCTAATTGCAAGATGGACTTCAATGATTGTCACTTATTAAGTAACACTTGTTGATATATATCACGATGTCTCTATAATTAATAATATTCTGTTTTTATCGTTTAATATCTAATATTCCTACCTAAATATGTGAAATTATAGTTGTATGCAAAAGAAAAACTGAGAAAAGGCGGAAAAAAAGAATCACGAAGAATAGAATAGATACATCCTTATAATAATAATAATAATAATAATAATAGTAATAATGATGATAATAATAATAATAATAATAATAATAATAATAATCTTTTTTGCTGAAACAAGATTTTGTTTGTTGTACCATGCCATCCGTTGACAACGTGATAAGAAAGAGGGAAATGGGAAAAAGATGTTTCTCTAATAGAAACATCTTTCCCACATTCTCCTTTTTTTTCTCCACGTATCTCCTATAACACGAACAAAATTTCCGTGTAGATGATTGTATTTTCGGAAGTTTTAGAGATGAAAAGACGAAGAGAAAAAAAAATAAGAAAATAACATCACAACTATAGATAGTTATACATAACGGATCCATTTATCACTAATAGAGTGTAAAATAGAACTAGCAAACGAAATAGAAAAAAATATATATATGTTAATGGTTCTTATACAAATCACTTTTGTTAGTTTAACATTTTGTGATTAAAAAAAATATTAGAAAATTTGATTTTAGTTAGTATAAGGTGAAAAGAAAATTTGTATATAAATTAAATTAAAATATGAACATAATATGACAATAATGATGATGAGTACACATGATGCATTAACTGAATATGAAAATAGTTAAGATATTTTATTACTTAACATGCAATATTTAATTTTCATTTTTTTAATCTATCTTTTTTATTTTTTTAATTAGGACTTAAAGATGCATTTTCATTATTTGATCGAATTGGAATAGGAGCATTTAGTCAAACTGAATTAGGTTATGTCATGAAAACAATTGGATATGAGCCTACAGAATCAGAATTACAACAAATGATTAATGAAGTAGATGAAGACGGTAAAATATCTTCCATTCTGGAGTGAGCATATCCTTGTCTTTGTAAAATGTGAAATAGTACTCTTATGTTATTATATTGATTTCTTAAGGAAATGGTATTATCGATTTCGAAGAATTTAAACAAATGATGACTCGAAATGGAGGCGGAAACTTTCAATTCAATGATGAACTATTGAATGAAGCATTTCGAATTTTTGACAAAGATGGCAATGGTTTTATTAGTGAAATAGAAATTCGAAATGTTATGCAAAATTTAGGTATATTTTACTAAACAAGCAGGCGATATCTAATATTATATTGCTATGTTTATACAGGTGAAACGCTGACCGACGATGAAGTTAATGATATGATATGTGAAGCAGATACAGACGGAAATAGACAGATCGATTATGCCGAATTTACGGCATTAGCACGGCGATTGTTACAATATCAAGATTTATCGCCTAAAACGGTAAACGAATCATCTTCAGGAGCATACGAAGGACGAGGCATTATTCCCTATATCGACGATGATACGGACGATATTGGACGTTGATAAATGATATATAATATATCTTGAATGAGCCGGTGAATTCAGTTGACGCGGTGATGAAAAAACTACGTACAAGTAAGACAAACTGTTTCGTGCAAAAATGTAAGATTATGTTGTTGAGATTCAAATATTATGTAATCTTTTTTTACAATTTTGAGAATTTGTGCATAATTTCTACTTCGTGACTATCGATTGATGTTTAACGCTTTTCACACTCTGTTTTATTTTTGTAATACTTTGCAGTCCAAAAATAACCATGATAAAAAAATTTCTATTATTTAAGATAGAGTCCTTATACCATTGTGTAGATCTATCGTAAACACAAGTTTTGTATGCAAAGAACACATAAAAAAACGAAGAACTTATTGACTAATACAAACACTGAATTCTGTGGTTACATAGTTGTCTGAAATATTGTTTAACTGTCTACTACCACGTCTAACGTGCTCCTCTCTCCTCGAATCATAATTTATCCTTGAGATTTTAGATATCAAAAGTTGATGTTTCATTTTAATTGACCTTTTTATTTGAGTTCAAACACTATAGGGAAGCAAAAGTATTTCGAGAGCAGTTGTGATCCTGAAGTAGATTGAAAAAGTCATCTGTTTTCTCTCACGATCATAGTCAATTAAAAATAATTTTATTTACAGTTAAGCCATTCACACGATAATAACTAATTGTTTATCATCATTACTAAAATAGTAGAGTAGAAATTATTAAAATAAGTATATTTTGTAGTAACATCTCCATGTCTATTTAACGTTATTTTTTGGTTCTGGTTATTGTTATTATGAATATATTGCTTGTATTATCAAATTTCTTCATACACTGTTGACAGTATTATGTTTAACTAAAAGTCAAGTATCTGCGATAAACAGAACCGACAATATGCTCTTATAGGTGTATAGTACTGCTGCTACTATTTTTAAGTTTATTGGATTCTCCAAGACAAGTGGATGTTTTCGTATTGTAAGAATCATGTGAGGATAGATAGATAGATAGAGAAAGAGATTAAATGATTGACGGGATCAAAATGGCTGTGTTTTTATTCGAGATGATTGTTGTTGAGTTAGAGAAATACAGGTAGAACAGAACATTGTCTATTCAGTCTGTAAACAGAACAGAACGTTTAAATTAGAAAAACTTTTAATTTAGTTTTGTTTAAGCGCATACGAATATTTCGAGAGACTATTTTTTACTACAATATGATTTCTTATAGTTATTGTTGACATCAAATATATATATATATATATACAATAAGTGAGTGGATATAAAGGACAGGAATTTAAAAGATCCCGGTGGAAATGCACAGTGGATAACGTATACAAAAACTTGTACAAAAAACGCACAAAAGATCCTGGTTTTCTTTGTCGATCTTCTCACTTTCATCTCGGCGCTCTCCGCGTCGTCTTTGATCTAACTTAAATTTTGGTATACTGAATTCATTGTGCATTTTCACCGCGATCTTTTCTCATTTTATCCGAATTTAAATCGCAATCGCAATATTAATAACTACTTCATTTTGTATGTATTTAGTACATTTGGACTACTTTGTCTACAGTTCACATCAAATACTTTTATAGCTCACAGTAGTGAATAAATTTGATTTTTATTGTGCGTAAATAAAACGGTTGACGAAAGATGCGCACGAGAAACTTACGCACGAGCAGGTTGCGCACGTAATAACAAATTCTTCTTTATGCTTTCAACAAGCGACAGGAAATAGAATAATAACCAGAGACAGTTCATAATAAGTTTAATGAAAATATAGTTAAATTTTATTGTATGATAATATTCGGTGTTATGTGGTTATTTATTCAATAATATTTTGATAGAGATTTGGAATAAGATTATA